TTCGAAAAGTAGATGTGCAGTCCTTCTTCCGTTTGGGTCTAAATGTTTCCTATGCTCTAAGAACTCGTTGTACACGAACTACATTAGTCTCTGTAATAACTTTTTTAGTTGGACACTAGCCATTATGGGATAGTCTGGGAACCACGGGCTTGAGTCTTGCTTCTGATGCTTTCCTGTACCTAAATTGTATAAGTCCTGCCCAGTCTCTGAACCTTTGTTGTGCCCTCTGGTGTGAAATAGATATGATCTTGGCTAGGTATAATGTTGGTCATGAATTTTTGGTTAGGATTACGTTAAGTTAATATATGAAAAATTATCTGCAAGTTATAATGAAATATAAAAACAAGATTATTTCTCACTATTCTTATTGTCGGTACAAAAAGTAAAAGGAACCAATGTCACGTGTTTCTAATTTATCTAGTAACCTTTTCTTGAATAACTACTGGGGACAGGCCCTGGGAATACAAGGATGAATAACTCTTAGCTTCCATTACTGGAGTCTGAAAAGCCTAGGAAAGCCAACAGTGGCTACAATTGATGGCGTTAGTTTCTCGTGTTAGGGCGAAGGCTGGGCTAGAGTTTGCCAGAGCTCTGCTCTTAGTGGAAATAAAGGTAGATGGTAATGCGGATGACAAGATCTTCAGAACCAGAAGTCAGCCAGGTGTAATGGTGTATGCCTGTGATCCCAACACTCTGGGAAGTTGAAGTAGGAGGACCACAAGTTCGAGCCCAGCCTGGCAACTTAAGGATTTAGCAAAGATCCTGTCTCGAAATAAAAAGTAAAAAAAGGCTGCGGATGAAACTCAGTGTGAAGGCCCTATGTTCAGTCTCCAGTTCAACTAAACCAAACCAAACCGATCAAACTCAACTCAACTGACACACTCCCCCGTATATTAGGACTAAAGGGGCGAATTTTTTTTTTTTTTAAAGTTTGAGCTTGTCCTATGGTTCAGGCACTATTATACCCAATCACTTTCAAAATAAGCTAGGTATTATAATGCTCATTTTATAGATGAGGAAGTACAGACAGGGATGTAGAGAATTTTCCAAGGTTTACAAAGCTAAAAGTCTTCATGGTTTATATTTCATGCTCAAGCTTAAGCCCATGTTATCTACCTACGAGCTTAGAGCTTTTTCCTGTACTCTGTTGCTTTTTCATTAGCCAGTGTTTTTACAGAACTCATTCATGCTAATGTCGAATGCCTTCTTACTTGAATTACTTTTTCCAGGAGAAAGAATGAACAATATGATGGAAAACTCTTGTTATTTCTTCTTACACTTCAATGATAAAAACCTTTCTCTTCCACTACCTTCTCCTGACTTTGCCCTCTCCTCCAGTTCCAACAAAACTGCCAAGGAGTAAAGAATTCCCCCAAATAAAGAGCCTGAACAAAGAGCTCCTCAGCCACCAGCCTATAAGTCCTAGGTCAAAACACACAGAAAGAAGGACAAATTTGTGTGCACTTCTGTACACAAAGGAGTCAGTGTAGACAAAATATATCCATACTTTCATTTTGTGGAATTATAAGTAATCTCAGAATATGATTTCCAGGATTGCTCATTTTTTTTGGGGGGGTGTACTGGGATCAAACTCGGGACCTTTTGCTTGTGAGGTAGGTGGTGAAACCACTGAGCTAAATCCCCAGCCCTAGGCTTGCTTGTTTTATGGATAAGGAAAATTAAGACCCAAGAAAATGAAGAGACACGCCCAATGTCACACACTAGTGAGACTCAGAGTCTGGCTTGGAATCCAGATCTCTCTTCTGACTCCCAGGACAACAATACCTTTCCACTAAGTAAGTTGCCTCTTTAGCTTTGTGCACAAACAGCTCAACTTATACGAGATCACGGCCCTTTTTAGGAGCAAGTTTGGGGCTCGTTCGTGTCTCTCTGCAAAGCCCAGAAGCCAAGGCCTCCTCTTTTGCCTTGGCTTTGAGCAGCTCATGTCCTTATCTAAGGAACAGGAAGTGGCTTCAATTTGAGCTCTGAAAGCACATTCTGGGGGTGGGAAAGGGGGATTTAGGGAAGAAAGTTCCTGTACATGAGGGTCAACAGTGATCAGCACATGCTTCACTCTGGCTTGCAGAAGGGGAAGATAGAAAAGCAGACATTTAGAGGAAGATGAAGGTTGATCTTGGTCTTAACCGGAACATGACCTCAGCAAAAGCTTCCCCAATCCCTGTGGTGAGAAGAGGGGAGGATCCTGCCCTGCTCACTCCCTTCTCTGTTCTGATAGGGCTGGATGCCGGGGTGGGTGCTGAGGTAGGTGGGAAAATTTGGAGGAACTTTATACAACCTCAGTGCTCCCCCACCCTCTGCTAGCACTCATAACTTCCCCTGCCAAGGGAGGAAGGAGGAACACATTATTCACTTTAATAATTTATACAAATTGAAAATCTTACTGTACAAAATAAAGGGGCCCTAGGAGGACAACAGAGAAATAAAAATTCCTACATCCTCTCTTAAAGGATGGACGTGTGGGGATGATATTTCTTGATGATCTCACCCAGAAATAAAACAACTTTGTGGTCTAAGACATGGATACAAAATAAGCAAGTCACTCTGACGGTGACCCAAGCTTTGTCTCTTTTTACTGGTGGGATCACATCGAACTTCAGCAGTTATATCCTAGGACATCCAAGAACACAGACCAGACCCTCGCAATGCTGGGAAGAACCCAAGGGCATTTATTTGTCTGTATCAGAGGTTCTCAAATGCAGCCGCCCATCAGAGTCATCTGGTGAACTCACTACACATTGAAATTTCTAGAAAGCAACCGAGAGTTTGCTTAGATAGATCAGATGGGGTCTGGAAATCTTTGTTTTCAACAAGCAGGCTCTATTTCAGAAGCAAAAATCCAGTTCTATCCCATCCATCCAGCTATCAAAGCTTTTGCAGATGCTAGTCTTATAGCAAAGAAAACCAGTGTGCCAGAACAACAAACAAACAAAACAACAGTAGCAACAAATAAACCAGACACTTAGAGTAGAACTCAATACCCTGGCTGCCAGTATAGGGTCTTAGACAATGCTCTTACACACACTTTTGTCCTCCAGTTCCCCACTGGGACATAGAGAACCCATGAAGATCAAACAAATCCACAGAGGAACCAGCTTTGACTGAGTCTCCAGTCACCTCACTGTGGACGTGGCTAAGCGGCTGTGGTGAAAGCCGTTTTCAGAAAGCTGTCTTCTGAATTCTGCTGGGGTTCGAGCAGAGGGGCCAGCCGAGGACCTCTAAGGACTACTCCTCTGTCTTTCCAGACTGAACGAACAGTGGCTTCATGAAAGCAGCCTGCTGTGTACAGGAACCAGGGTGGCAGAGGCAGGGTGAAAGGGACAGTCACAACAGATGAGGTCTGGCCAGCATATTCATGCATGCCTGCCATCACAGCACTCTGAGAGCCTGAAGCAGAAGGACCCCAAGTTTGAGCTCAGTTTTGTCAACCTAGTGACATAATGGGACCCTGTCTCAAAATGAACAAAAAAGGGCTGAGGATGTGGCTCAGTGCAAGGTCCTGAGTTCAATCCCTAGTAATGGAAAAAAGTAAAGGTCTAGGAAATGGGGAAGGCCGAGCCTCATGGGCTCCAGGTCACTATGACCCTTCACTTTTTTTTTTTTTTTTTTTTTTT